TTCATTTTATACACTTAATTTACGTTTGCCATGATTTAGAAACAAAAGCTATCAGGAACATTAATCCACACATGGCTTATTAAATACTTTGAAAAGCTTCAGCTACACTGATTTTTCAAATCAAATTATTTTCAATTTGTAAATCAAATCCAGCTATTGTTAAATTTATAAAGCAAATTTAACTAGTGTATATATTTGTCAAGTTCATTGCGAAGAAGCGTTGTAGTGCAGGGAAGCAATATTCGGATATGCAAAGCTCATGAAAGTGGTGAACAACTAAGAGGTGAACGGAAGTTTGAACTATCCTGTGCCACTGATGTGTCATGATGGTATCAGTATCAGTATCAGTAGCGGGGGCACCCCGACCCGCCTAACCAAACAAGTTGGTCTTATGGCCATGACAGGCCACGCACATTTCAACAAAGGAAAACATGAAACATAAAATATCTAAATGAGAATAAGCATATGTAAATAATAATTATAAACATAAAAGTGAAGAAAAGGAACAAATACAAACATTTAGGTAAGAAATGATGGTGTAAGTAATCGATCGAACTTCGTCTGGTAGCTGTCAGAGATTTAAAGAAGTGTACTTTCTTAAAATGGAAATAAATTTTAAAGCTGAATTTATCGTAGAATTACAATTTGCGTTTTCTAATAATCTGTTCCTCTCTATTACAACGATGTGAATGGTAATCATTATCTGATTGAATCACTTGCGACTATTAATGAATGTTCTCTAACTATAGTTCTCAGTATTATCACTAACTACTAGAGTACTCAAATTTGCATGTAAGGAACACCATTGCGCTGAGAACGTTTTGTTTGTTGTTTAGACTTATACGGTGATTGATATAACGGAGTTAGAGTTGAAATCAGAGCCAGATTAACAACGCGTCTGGATATTTGTCTGAAAGTATGATCTTTGTCCACATAGCGTTTGTTTTGGCAATTATGGTCCAATGTTAAGAGATTTAAAACCACAATTTTTGCGTCATTAGGTTATTTTGAAGCAGGAGACGAAACACATGAGTGCCTTATCCGGGACTCGAACCCTAGAACTGTCGAATACCCGCCAAGTGTGCTACCACGCATGCTGAAAGATTGGTGAAAATATTTTATATCAGTAGTTCACAAACTTTTTTCACTCTCAGCGACTTCCTTCAATTCATTTTTTTCCATGGCACCCTAACCTAAGTAACACTATGACTAATCGTAACAGCTGAAACTAAACTCGTGTATCTTCATTATTTAACATTTTGTTTTCACTTTATTAACATTAAATTAATAATTAATGTGGTGGATGAGCCCGCAAATCACTGCATATTTTCTCAAATCGGGGAATTAAACTGGACACGGCTCCCCTCATTTCCTCATTGATTTTTGGTATATATTTCTTTTTTTTACTACAGCCGAAAACTCAACTTTGCATAAATACGGCGTCGAAAATGGAAGTAAAATCTCCTGAGCCTTATCGCTTAGAAGGGAATGTTTCCTTAAATGTTTCCTTAAATCTGTTGCCGCAAGATAATTCGATAAGATTCTCTTCCGTAAAAGCAAATTCAGACGGATCGCTAGTCTTTTATGGAGCTTGAATCCATGCAAACCTATCGAAATTTTCATTTTCAAAATATTCCTGAAACCTTATGAATTAGCTCTGATAAATGCCTTTCAAATATCTTTTTGTATCTTGAAAAAGATCAAGTTTATTCGACATCAAAAATTGCTTAACTTCAAAAGGTGCCTGATTTTTTTTTCCCTGAAAGGAGAGATCAAGAGAATTCAGCTTTTTCAAAAATATCACATTAATATACCAGTTGTATTAAAAATCCAGCATCATCACTATCTTCTGCATCTTTCATCCTTCCTGTTTAAGGAAAATAAAAATTTCTAGCCGCAGTTCAAAGGTTCTTGATAAAACATTACCACGAGAGAACCACCTTGCGCTTTACAACAAAGACGAGTGTTTCTGTTCCAATACCCTCACACAGAAAAAAAATCTGCTTCAATGGACGAGATATTATAAAATTTACCACATATTCTAACACCGGATTCAGATCAGAACTGAGATGCTTTGATGCAAGCGCGTCTCTTTGAATAATGCAATGAGTCTACAGTACCATTTGGTTATTTGCTTCAAATTAAATGTCTGTAATCTTCAGTAGCAACCAGATATGGAGCTACCTCCATCCAGTGCAGCCACTAACGAAAGTAAGCCAATTCATCTTATTTTCAGAAATAAATGTATCAATAATCTCCAACAAGTCCTGAGTCTTTGCTCCTACCGTGATATTTTTATAAAACAGAAAATCGTCTTTAATGTTATCACCACACACAGTTGGTATAATACATTCTTTTACTATAGTATGAGGCTTCTTACATTTCACGATTCTGTAAACCACCTTGTAAGATACTAGTAAACCGTTGTTTGGTATTTGTGAAATCTCAAAAAAAAAAAATCATTTTTTTGTTATTTCAGGTCTTTTAACTTCCGGGAAAAATATCAGAAAATTTAACAACCATGCTGTGGTGAATGGCTTCTAAACTGTACTTCAAGTACTTGGAAGCATGCATTCCGCGGCAAAAATTTCATACACAATATAGTACATAGCAGTCTCTTTTCACCATTCATTTCTGTTGACGTAAAGCCAAGCTCTAAATAACCGTCATCGTATTTATGATACGATGTTTTATGATACGATGTCATCGTATTTATGATACGATGTTACTTTCGTTTCTTCGTAATCATGCTCCTAGTTAAAGACATACTTTTTTATCTGTACTAATAAGTTTACTACTGTTCAAAAATCGGCCCTTTATCAAAGATATAAGAGCAAAAATTCACAAAAGCTATTTATGAGAAACAATAAACAAAAACTAATATAACACTAACTGTACTACATGAACTAATTTAATATCTCCGTTTATTTACATGAAACGCTGAGTTTAATTTCACTTGATTTACATTATAAACCGAGTGACTGAAAAGAGGCGGCAACGCTTGCTTATGTGCATTCCGCAAGATCTTTCAGAGCAGTCCACAGCATAAGAACTTCCAGATCACAACAAATTAGTCTCTACAGCTAAAGTGAAAATGAATTCTGCGTCGGCCGCCATAATTTTTATAAAGAGTCAAGTAAAAACAAACCACACAAAAAGATATAGATATTTTTAGCTTCTCACTTTCTCTTTTATTTATTTAAGCGAAATGTCTTGGCTCAATTAATTATGAAGCTTTTACATGATTTCGCGGCATCCTTGTGAAGACGCCCAGTGGCACCGCAGGGCACAGTTTGGAAACCACTGCCTTATACAGAAAAACCGTCATTTTCTAGATTTTCTGAGATCTTTTGAGGAAAAAACTTTAAATTGCATCAGAAGCAACTAACAGTGCGGTTCTTCTAACTCAATAGAAGAACTGGCACAGCTTTTAAAGACTGGCCGAAAAGTAAACATACCTTAGCGGCTTTGTTTCATTTTATCCTCAGAGTATCAACAACGAATTACGAACTTTTCTTTTTCTCATCTACAAGCGAAAGAAATAGTTCGCGTATCATGAAGATCTGGAAAGATAACGTAGTTTCAATACCGTGCTGAAATTACATATTGTGCATTGTGAAGAGAGTTATTTGGATTATTAAAATTTAAGACAACTGCGCTTCAATTCATTCATAGAAATCCAACAAAATTTTTATTGTAATTTAATTCTTCTGGGCTGTTTCAGAAAAGTGGGATTTTCATTTTTCGCTTCTTGTCGGTCTTAAGAATTAAAGCAAGTATCAAGTTTAAGAATAAAAATAATTAGATAAATATGCCATGCTGTAAACATTAATAATTTAAGCATTCATTTTGCTGAACGTAATGGGAAAATCAGAAATTTGTATGTTAGTTCGAGTACGTGTACATCATTTCTAAACATTATATTTAGTATTTCATGCACAGTAATTGTAAATATCATGCGTAAAACATAATTATGCAATTATGATCAATTCAGAAGATGCATTAATAATCTACTTTGATGATATTACCATTTCTCGTAATAAAATATATAATTTTCAAATTATTGATTTTTAAATAAGTAAAAAGGACCCGTTCGAATTATTTGTTAGCTTTGAAAAAAGAAACTATTTATTATGTTGTCACCTTTTACTCATATTGCCAAAAACGTTTACAAGGATGAAAGATTATGCAAAGATGTGGAATATAAAATTGTTTTCCGTTCATAATAGCATGGGACGTTTTCCTCTAACCAAATGAAGGATATATTATATATGTTAAAAATAAACTTCTGCTCACAGAAATAAAATTCTCTGTAACAGAGTAATTTATTTGACAAGTGCCACATAAACATGACAGAATTTACATAATTCTAAATTGACTGAAGCCAGCGTATATTTGGCTACAACATCGTGATCAAATCAATGTCTGTCAGTTTTGTTACACCGCTTGGGCTAAAATGTAAGCTCGCTATGTTTGATAAGCTTTGTGGTGTTACGCCATTAGAGAAAGTGAGGCTGCACTGTCAAAACGCACTTTAGGCCGAAATACATTATAATCATACATCTTTATGGCTGGGAATGATTGATGTTCTTTGCGTCTAACGTTCAGTTGAATTATGACTGCATTATGAATGATGCTGCAGGTATTTCGAAGTGGAATCTTGTTGAATGCTCAGAATGCTTTAACTGTAGAATACCTGTAATGTTGATGTTGTCTGTTGCATACGTACTGATGTTAAATCTTTCCGCTGAAAACTGTAGAATATCTTGAAGCGCCTAAATAACTCATTTTTACTTTGACAGACTTTCTTGGTGAAATGTTTGGACAAAATGAAACGTTTTCAGTACATATCCTAAAATAACATGCTTGGTATTACAGGGTGTTAGAAGTTTCGAAGAAATTTGACAAATTTGTTCGATGTTAATAGATGTATTTGTTGCTATGTATAATAAACAACAAAAATTATCTTGCTAAAATAAACGGAATTCTTTCTCATATAGGTATCACATGAGTCTTTTAAAGGAGAAAGTGGTTAACGATTCTGTCTGCCGTACCGAAGGGTTCGAATCCTCCCGGAGACGACATGGATGTAAATTGTCTATCCCTTCATAGGAGCCAACGGTGGACCAGGAATTATGTGCATCCATAATAAAATGACCACCGCTTCCGGTCTTAGTATTGGCCAGGCCAACGCCTATAACGCCTAGTGCCTGGAACTGGTAATTAAAAAAACTACGTTATCACATGAAATTTGAATACTAATATAACTTACTTGCATGCCGCTTAGCGTTTTGAGACTAATATATGAAACATGTTATGATAAATCTACGAAATTTATCAGAAAGTTGCTGTTAAGTTTCAGAAGTAGTGAAATTTTTAAAAGTAGCTTAATGCATTTCATATGCAACAATTATGTTAGTTTACAATAATTAACTTTATAATGTCTGTATTTAATTTGGCTTCTCATGTCTTTCAAATAAATAGAATTGAAATTATAATCGGATTTCACAAAATTCATGTTAAGTGCTTATATGCAGCTCTGCAGTAATTAAAATCAAGTAACACTAATATATCTTCACGTTTAAGAATCTTTGTGCAAATACAGAATACTCAATTTTAATTTTTTAATTCGAGAAGGGAACTTGAATGAATCGCATTATGAATATACTTAGTTTGGTTATAAATTAACGTGAGGTATTCAGAACCCTCTAAGAGAAAGCGTAAACAGAATTGATGGGCGTACATAGTGGACGATGGGATTTCGAAGTCTAAAAAAATAGTACAAAACATCGCTACCAGGGGAAATGATTGCGCTGCAAATGTATATTAATATGAATAAGCGAATGATTAAATACCAAACGACCCAGCACACATTATTTCTGTTAACAACAAATGAGGTTCGATATGGCCACCATTGCGATGTTCCAAGAACTACATACGTTGCATGGCATTTTCCATGGCGGCTCACAACTTATCAGAACTAATTTATCTCATCTACAACATTCTTCGATCCTTCAAAGTTGCGATTTCGTTGCAATGTCCTTGATACAGAACACCTTCAAGAAATCCCGACAACCATATGCTACAAGAATTGAGATCTGGCGATCTTGGTGGTCAGTCCATAGGAAATACACAACTAATAATTCTGCTGTCAGATAAAGGTTGCTGCAACACACCCTGTATCTTAAATCCAATGTGGGGGTGGCGTACATTGTCGAATATTGTTTGTGCATGAGTATTGTCGAATCGAGAGAAACTCATTGCTGCATGTGAGAATAGTAATTTCTCACACCACGCAGTTTGCCAGCATCACAATTTTAATCATAATCGCGGAAGTGCACGTGTGTATATAAGCACCAGTCAGACTGGTTTCTTCCCGTCTTCCCATTCTTTTTCGCCGTCTCCTACCTGCCGTCGCTTGGCAATCAGCGACGCCGCACGTTGTGCGGATTCGTGTTCATGCATATCTCACTGATGGAGTTTCATCATGCCTGATAGTCGCACATGGAATGTCGTCGTAGCTTTGCATAAAACGAAGCAGAGCAAAAGGTTGCGATATATTTAGATGAAAATGCTCAGCTATACGTGATGTAAGTGGATTTGATTTGTTAGCTAACGGACATGTGTTCGGCATTCGTCTACTATTCCAATTTTAGGTTCCCACATTTTGTGTTCTAAATTAAGATATTTTGATATTTTATATTTGTGTGATAAGTGTTCCATATTTAATCCAGAAAATGTGTTTTGATAAAATAAATGTGAGATTAGAAAAAGAAATGTGTCTCCGCAAGTCTTATGCATGTGGGTTATTGGGTAAGTGAAATATTTAATTATTCTTGACGCTAGGGCTTAATTCGCAATGTACGATCACTAAGAATTTATGCCAGTAAATATTTGGGCACATCTAAATTAATTAAGGATTTCTAGATAGATATTTGGATAGATTGTCACATTACAACACCTTCTAGTAGTGCACACCACTACACTGCAGTTGTGGAACCACGAAGTTCTGTAACATATCGGCATACCTGTCGGCAGTAATGATATAGGTGACTAACTCATTTTCACAATTTTCCTCTTTAAAGTAAAGATCAATGATAAAAGATGCTGTAAAGCCACAGCGCACAGAGACTTTTGACGAGTGGATAGGCTCCTGCACTCAAGCTTGTGGATTCTTCGCAGCAGTTGTGCGTGCTAATTCTGCTATTCAAATGAAAGGGTGCTTTACCACTCATTAAAGTCTGCCACAGTCATGTACCATGTCAATTTGCATGCGTACTAACAATTTGAAAAGTCAAACCGGATGCCCGCTTCGCGATACCAATTCTTGAGTAGAATATATTTTATACGCATAAAACTTCAACATATGATGCAGGATCATTCATATCGTTGAATATGGAATCTGCATGTACTGGTGGTCTGCCCGAGTATTGCTGGTACCTTGCATATTCGCCATCTTCTGTTCGACAATAGCACTAGGAACTTCTTTCACCTTATTGCCGATTAACCACTTTGCGTCTCCGGCCTGGTTATTGTACTAGACGTTCTGCAATTTCAAATCGTTGAATCATGTTTTGGAAGACTGTTATGCTCGTCTGTCGTTTTCGCAACACCTTTGACCTCCAAAATTAAAGAATAGCAGCAGTGGTATTCTCGTTGCGCTGTTAAATTAATTCATTTTTACTACCAAAACACGGTTCCATTTGATAAAAACCATCGAAAGGCAGCTGGCTTCAAAAATATGCGAATTCTTTCAACTTTTCGTTCCATATTCATAATCGCTACACGGAATGCAAGCTAATGCAAGTTAATGGCTATGTTTAGCAAATAAAATGCACGTTAATGCATTTTATTTGGTAAAGAGAATCAATTTCTTTTTAGAAATCAAAATCCCATCGTCCATTATGTACGTCCATCAAATTTAGTTATGTTTCCTCGAACACTTTACTCGCTTAGACCGCTCTAAATACATCACGTTGTCTTATAACCGCCCTTTATATAAATTAAAAAGAAAAAAAAAAGTCCTTCTAAACTCACAAACCTATTTGAAACTGACGTTAAGAATGAATCCTATTTTTTTTCCAGACCATTACTTACAAGTAATAGCCAATATTTACTTAAATGTCTCAGATGTATGGACCTTTCATGGCTGGACACATTCGTTCAGAAACATTTCTAAGACGACAAATAGATATCATCAGAAATTCCATTAAAATTAAAGTAGTCATGTGCAGATATCGATTACCCTAATCAGAAACAATAATAAATAATTAATGAATATCGTATCTAGCGTTTCTAAATTTCAGTGCACCTTTTAAATCATTAATCAGATCATGCATATGAAAAATATTTCAGGGTCACCTTTTCGTAATACCCAATTTTCGGAGGTATTTTAAAAGTAGTAGGCAACTTTTTCGACGGTCTTCAATGTATGTAATGAATTCTAAACATCGTAATGTTTCTTAAATATAATGAATACAGCAAAATGAATATTTATACATACATACAAAGATCCGAAACAAAGTAATTGAAATATATCGATATTTCTAAAAAGCTTCTAGTACCATAAGTAAAACCCTCACGAATCCTCAATATTGTTGTGATCTGGAGTCAGCGGAGATCTCTCCAAATAATTATGCTAAATCTCCAGGAATAAATTGGCAATATATTGTAATAAGGTAGACTACTCAATAAAAATAGCAACTATAAATAACTCAAATAGAAAGCAGAAATCGGAAAATCCTTCTTAGTGAATAAAAAATAAATATTGTAGATTACTGATACTGTCTATTATCCACAGTATGAGTTCATACTGTAGACAATAGACAATAACAGTATAATAAGCTGGTTATCTAAAAATATTTTACATAGTGGTAACTGGCCATTTGGAAGCTTTAATAAATAGCTGCTTCCAAAATCCCGAAATTTTCAAACAGTGTTTCGAAATTTTCAACTTGGCGAGAAATCGCCAAATGTCTTTAACTTACCGCCTGGTCCATCATGAGAGTTTTTGCTTATATTTTAGTTCTGTTTTAGCTAAGTTTACAATTTTAACGTCATTGAATTTAAAACAGAAGGTCTACAGTTTTATAGTCGAAATGATCACTTACATATAAATAAGTTGCAACAAATGTAATTACATAAAATAAACCCTAAAATTATTGCCTAAAATTCAACAAATAAAGAATAAAATAACATGAAATATTATATTAGTAATACGCAAAAATAATAACTCAATTAAAAGTACTAAAATATTTAAAGAAATGTGCACCAAAATTGCCTACTACTATGTAGGTGTAATACGTCATCAGTACATCAGCTTCTCTTGGCGCTTCACAACAATAATACTAAAATAGACATAATATCTTCTTTACTATTGCAGTGGATCTTTATGTGTGATTCTCTGACTTTTAGGGAACTTCGCCAACATCGAAGGAAACCGTGGCTCCGTGATGCTGCTTGCCTTTCCGTAATGCATAAAAGTGGTTTGGTGGTTTATTCGATTATGAGAAAGCATTCGAAAACTATTAGGCTAAGTAAAGGGATGCCTTCGTGGAGGATTTTTTAAGGGAACTGGCTCGTATACACATTACACATGGGGAAAAACTCCAAAACGCCGATACAGCCAGCCGTTCGCAGGGATACGAACCCCAGACAGAACAACCAGTGTTCGTTCGCAGGGATACGAAACCCAGAGATAACAACCAGTGTTCGTTCGCAGGGATACGAACACCAGACAGAACAACTAGTGTTCAGGGGCTTTACCGCTCAGCCGCTGGTGAGCACAATATATAAAACGAAGCATCGTTAAAGACATCGCTATGAAACTTAAAATGATTGTCCCCACTGCCAGCGTTCTGTGCGAAAAGTTGTCTATCTCTACGTGTTTCGTTTGCCAAACTCATTTAGAAAGTGAAACAATAGCAATTTATTCAGATTGTACGTAAGAAATGTACGAACTGAAAGTTATGCGACACTGAAATTCAAAACCTACCCTCTTTTCGATTTCTTAAGGTCTTGCTTCCATGCGCTCCCAAAACACTTTCATTTTGTTATTCAAATACGCGAGGTCTCCGATCTTCACACAAATTGAGTATACATTTAAATTTCTTGTCCCAATAGTAGATAGATTTTCTGTTTGAAAGTGGGGTTTTGAAGCTTGAACGAAATTTGCATTGAGTCATAACAACGAATTCCGTTCTGTTGAAATCTAAAGCACAAAGTGCAGATGTGAACATTTTGGAGTTACATGACATACGGTGATTGTCTGTCCGACCATCGACAAGCATAATCGTCATAACTAGGTGCCTAGCAAGTGACCTGAGCAAAGAAAATAAATAGAGGTTTATTTCCCTTGAAACTATTAATATGTTTAATTTGCACAAGGCACCAAATGCACTAATCAGCTAAAATGTTAAAGATGGGCCTGGCTGCTTATGCCACAACAC